GGCTGGTTATGCAGTTGCTCCGGACGGTAATGCTGCTGCTGCTGCTGCTGCTGCTGCTGCCAGTGCTGCGTCTGTTTATGCTGCTGCTACTGGAATTGATGCAGCAACTCATGCAGCAGCTGCTGCGGCTGTTTATGCTGCTGCTGCTGCAGCTGCTGCAGCTGCTGCGGTTGTTTGTGCCGCTGCTGCTGCTGCTGCTGCTGCTTCAGCATATAGGGGGTTAGTCCTTTAACCTGCTGGCAATGTAGCAGCAGCAACAGGCAGCATCTGCTGCTGCTGCTGCTGGAGCAACCTTTGTTGCTGGTGCTGGTGCTGCTGCAGCAGCAACAAAGTTTGCTGCAACAGCAGCCGTAGTCCCTGCTGCTGTCTGTTGCTGCCGGTGTTGCTGAGCTTACTGTTGTTGCTGCGGCTCTCTCTCCTGCTGCTGCAGTTGTTGTTGCTGCTGCTGCTTTTCTTTGCTGCTGATGGTGTTTATTTGCAGTGTATGTACACCTAAGCCGCTGCCGCTGTGCAGAGAGAGAGACGAGAGTCTATATATAAAGAAGATAAAATAAAGTTAAATAAATAAATTAAATAAATAAACAATTAATATAAACACATTTACTATTTATTAGCTTTTATTTTATTGCTTCTTCCATGCTGCTGCAGCGGCTGCTGCAGCACAGCAGCACTAGAGCTGCTGCTGCTGCTGCTGCTGCAGCAATAGCAGCAGCTGTTGCAGCTTCACAACAGCTTTTTGAGTTTGTCTTCCTTGAAGTGTTGTTAAATATTATTATTTTATATTTATATTTTTTATTTTTAAAGTCAGCGTGCATTTTATTACATCTCCAGACAGCCCCCACGCCCACCTGTCTGTAACGTCGAGATTAGTGTTTAGGGTTTAGGGTTTAGGGTTTAGGGTTTGCACGATGAGTTCTTCAAAGGAGTTCGACTACGATTACATCGGTGGGTTATTAGGGTTTAGGGTTTAGGGTTTAGGGTTTACGGTTTAGGGCTTAGGGTTTAGGGTTTGCAGGGGTTTAGGGGTGTATTTACAGCGACGCGCAACTTTGTGTCTTCTGTCGTTGTCTTGTTAGGGTTTAGGGTTTAGGGTTTAGGGTTAGGGTATTATTGCTTAGAGTTCAGGGTTATCGGATTAGTGTTTTAGGGTTTAGGGTTTAGGGTTTAGGGTTTATATCCTTGTAGAAGCACTATTAGATATCACCCGTTGTTCACCACCGCACTTGCTGCTGCTGCTTTTTCTGCTGCTTCTGTTGCTTCTGCTGCTGCTTCTTTTGCTGCTGCTACAATTGCTTAACCCCTGTCTACTCCTCCTCCCACTGCTGCTGTTGCTGGTGCTGGTGCTGCTGCTGCTGCTGCTGCTTTTGTTGCTGCAGTGATAGGAGGTGGTTCAGGGGGTCTTGCGAGTGCGAAGGAAGCAGCAACAGCACTAAAAGCAGCAGCAGCAGCATCATCATCATCATCATCAGCATCAAACCCCGGCTCAGCAGCATCAGCAGCATCAGGAGTATCAGGAGCAGCAGGAGGATCATCAGCAGCATCAGCATCAGGAGCAGCAGGAGGAGGAAGCAGCGTATCTGTATGTTTATTTGACTATGTTCGCCCTTCACCTCGGGGCTCAGTGTGGGGTTTAGGAGGTACTTGTGTCAACGTAGGATGCATCCCTAAGAAGCTAATGCATTATGCTGCTCAGCTGCAGCAGCAACTTGCTTGGGACTGCAGACAGCTCGGCTGTCTCTCCTTTGAACGCTTTCATCCTTCAACGGGCGAACCCCTACCCCACATGCAGACTTGCTGCTGGTCTCAGCTTGTTCAGGTACTCTGTCCAATAACTACACTATCTCCTAGCTAGCTAGCTAGCTAGCTAGCTACCTGGCTGTGTAGCTAGCTAGCTAGCTAGCTCCCTGGTTTTGTCGCTTGTTAGCTAGCTAGCTGGCTTGTTGTGTAGCTAGCTAGCTAGCTAGCTAGCTGCTTTTGTAGCTTGTTAGCAAGTTAACTAGCTAGCTAGCTGATTGTGTAGCTAGCTAGACAGCTAGCTAGCTAGCTAGACAGCTAGCTAGCTAGCCACACTTCAAGCGATCTCACTGGCAGTATAGGCAGGAACACTCAAGCCGCAGCAGCAGCAGCAGAACCGAAAGCAGCAACAGCAACAGCAACAGCAACAGCACCATCAGCAAGAGGCAGCAGCAGCTTAAGCCCTGGAAATTGAGCATTTCGCTGCTTCTGCTTCTGCTGCTGCTGTTGCTGCTGCTGCTGCTGCTGCTGCTGTTTGTTTGTTTGTCTTCAGTGTGTGCAGTCTTACATAAAACAATTAAACTTTAGCTATCGCGTCGGCTTAAGAAGTGCGGGGTGTACATACATCAACGCAGCCGCTCGGCTTGTGGGGCCCCACACTGTTGAATATGAAGTCAAAGGCGAAGTAAGAAGCTTTCGTCTTTGTTTGTTTGTTTATCTTTGTTTATCTTTATTTTGTTTGTTTATTTTGTTTATCTTTGTTTGTTTGTTTATCTTTGTTTGTTTGTTTATCTTTGTTTGTTTATCTTTGTTTGTTTGTTTTTGTTTGTTTGTTTATCTTTGTTTTGTTTGTTTGTTTATCTTAGTTCATTTTGTTTTGTTTGTTTTTGTTTGTTTATCTTTGTTTGTTTGTTTTGTTTGTTTGTTTTTGTTTGTTTGTTTATCTTTGTTTTGTTTGTTTATCTTTGATTTGTTTATTTGTTTTATATATTGAGGGCTTTATGTTTAGGGTTTAGGGTTTAGGGTTTAGGGTTTGTGTATGCGTTTAATAGAAAAAACAGCTGACAGCGCGATATATATTAATTGCTGTTGGGGGGCGGCCCTACATTCCTTCGGGTGTACGCGGAGCTCGCGAGTTTGCGATTACTTCAGATGATATCTTCAGTCTTAAAACCCCTCCAGGAAAGACGTAAGGTTATGCTATTCAAACTGCTGCTGCTGTTGCTGCTGCTGCTGCTGCTGTTGCTGCTGCTGTTGCTGCTGCTGCTGTTGCAGTGCTGCTCCTGGTGCTTTTGCTGCTGTCGTTGCTGTTGGTGCTGCTGCTGCTGTTGCTGCTGCTGCTGTTCTTGTTGCTGCTGCAGCTGCGTAGATCGCTGCTGTTGTTGCTACTCCTATTTATTTATTTATTTTATTCATTTATTTTATTTATTTATTTATTTTATTTATTTTATTATTCATTTTATTTTATTTAGGTTGGTAGTAGGCGGAAGTTATATCGCGTTGGAGTGCGCAGGCTTCCTTTCGCAGCTTGGCTATCAAGTATTTCTCTCTATTTAATTTAATTAATTTAATTAATTTAATTAATTTAATTTTAATTAATTTGATTTAATTGGTTTAATTTAATTAACTAGTTGAAGTCTGTTGATCGTCTATTAATTTATCGCAACCCACTTATCTAACCCTCTTCATTTCTTTTACTTTAATTACTTTAATTATTTTATTTTATTCGTTTATCTTTTTATTTATTTAATTTGTTTAATTTGTTTAATTTATTTTAATTTATTTATTTTATTTGTTTTATTTATTTTATTTATTATTTTATTTATTTTATTTTATTTATTTTATTCTATTTATTTATTATTTCTTTATTTTTGTTTATTATTTTATTTTATTTATTTTATTTATTTTATTTATTTAGGTTACCGTCGCCTACCGTTCGATTTTACTGCGGGGCTTTGATCGGCAGTCTGCAGAGAAGGTTGGGAGCTGCATGCAAGAGCTCGGAGTCAAGTTTTTAGAGAAGTTTCTTGTTGTTTCAATTACAAAAAAAGAAGACAAAGAAGACAATAGCAGCAGCAGCAGCAACAGCAGCAGCAGCAGCAGCAGCAGCAAGCAGCAACTTGTTGTGGTGCTGCAGCATGCCGAAAACCCCTCAATTACAAAAACTATTGTTGTAGATACAGTTTTATATGCAACAGGAAGGAAGGCCGATATACATAATCTAAGTAAGAAACTATTTATTTTATTTTATTTTATTTCGTTTTATGTTTATTTTATTTTGTTTATTTTGTTTATTTTTATTCTGTTTTGCTTGATTTATTTTGTTTATTTTATTTTATTTTGTTTATTTTATTTTATTCTGTTTATTTGAATAGGAGTGCTGTCTCTTTGATGTTTAAGTAAGATAGAATCTATTTTAATTTATTTTATTTATTTTATTATTTTCTGTTTTGTTTATTTGAATGGGAGTGCTGTCTGTAGTGTTTTTTAAGTAAGAGAGAATTGATATTATCCTTTTTTATTTGTTTTGTTTATTTGAAGGGTTAAGCTGTTTCTTTATTATTTATTATTTATAATTATTTATTTAAATGCTTAGATATGTTCATATATACATATTTTTTTATTTTTATGTATAGGCATTTATTTATTTATATTTATTTAGATGTGTAGACATATCTATTTATTTATTTTTTTATCTATTTAGTTTGTGTTTATTTATCTATTTATATTTATTTATATTTATTTATTTATATTTATTTATATTATTTATTTATTTAATGTTTAGATTTGGAAGCTGTCGGAGTGAAGACGAACGAAGACGGCAAGATAATATGCGATAAATTTTCGCAGACATCTGTTCAATCGATCTTTGCTGTTGGTCTGTCTAAATAAATAAATAAATAATTAATTAATTAATTAATTAATTAATTAGTTAATTAGTTTGTTTATTTATCTATATTTGTCTGCAATGAAGTAATGCTTCTTTTGGCTTAATTATATAATATGTAATTGGAGATTGAATAAAGCAAATAATATTTTTTTTGTTAATTACAACAGGAGTGTATAGTCGTAGAGTTAATATAAATTTATATAATAAATAAAAAGAATAATTAATAATAATAAAGAATAATGCTTATCAACAGAATAGAATATACAGTAGAGGGCTTTCTTTGTTTTTTGTTTTTTAATCAAAACACTAAAAAGGATATTTAAAATTTTAAAGCAGCAAAAGGAGACAGCAGCAGACGTTAAGGTGTATATATAATATATATATATATATATATATGTTTGTGTTTCTTACTATTATTATATTTTTATTATTCTGTTATTATTGTTATTGCTATTAATCCTCATTTATTATTTATGTATTTATCATTATTATAACGTATTTAGTATTATGTTATTATTATTATTATTATTATTATTATTATTATTATTATTACTACTACTACTACTACTACTACTACTACTACTGCTGGTAGAAGCAGAAAAACATCAAAAAATAATACATTCTATTTCTATCTACACATTTATATTTATTACGACTTATTTACATCTGTTTAAACCTACTAATTAATTAATATATTTATTTATTTATTTATTTATTTATTTATTTATTTATCTATTTATTTATTTATAGGAGATGTTGTCGCTGGATTTCCTGAGCTCACCCCTGCAGCAATACGCGCAGGCGAACTGCTGGCGAGGAGACTCTTCAAAAATCAAACAGAAGTTGTATGCTTTTATTTATCTATTTATTTATTTTAATTTATTTTATTTTATTTTACTTTGTTTTGTTTTATTTTATTTAGTTTATTTTTATTCTGTTTAAGCTCCTAAGGAGGAGACTCTTCAAAAATCAAACGGAAGGTGTATGTTTTTTATTTATTTTAATTTGTTTTATTTTATTTTACTTTGTTTTGTTTTATTTTTATTCGTTTTGTTTATCTTATTTTACTTTGTTTTAATTTATTTTACTCTCTTTGTTTAAGCTCCTAAGGAGGAGACTCTTCAGAAATCAAACAGAAGTTGTATGCTTTTTATTTATTTTGTGTTTATTCTTTTTAGTTTATTCTGTTATATTATATTTTATTATATTTTATTATATTTTATTATATTTTATTATATTTTATTTGATATTATTTTAAGTTTGTCTGTCTTTCTTCTTCTTTTCCTTCTATGGTGTCTTTTGTTTATTTCTTTATTTCTTTTTGTTTTTTTATTCTTTTATTTTTATCTGTTTCTTTTTATAATTTTATCTTTATAATTTTATCTTTATTATTTTATGTTTATTTTTTTGTTTTATTATTTTATTTTTATTTTATTTTTATTATTTTCTCAGTTTTGCTTAGAGCATGTTCCTACGACTGTCTTCACGCCGGTAGAGTACGGCTGTGTGGGTTTATCAGAAGAGGATGCAATAGTAAGAAAAGTTTATTTATATCTTTTTATCTTTTTATCTTTTATTGATTCTTCTTTTCTCGCTTTGTATGTCTCTACTTGTCTCCCTTTGTTTCATCTTCGCTGCCTTCTTATATCTTTTTTTTATCTTCTTCATCGCTTTGTCTGTCTCTCTCTCTCTTTCTGTTTCTCTTTTTATGTATCTCTCTCTTTCTCTACTTCTGTCTTTTGCTGTCTGTCTATCTTTTGTTTAGTTGTCTCTGTTTATATTTTTATTTGTTTTCTTCTGTCTTCTTTTTTCTCTTTTCCTCCTGTTATCTTTTATTTGTTTTCTCTTATCGGTTTTGAATTCATTATTTTAATATATATATGTTTATATATATATTGTATATATATATGTATATATATATATATGATATATATATAATTATAGGCTGAGTATGCGGAGGAGGATCTTGAGGTGTAAATATGTCTCAGTATATGTCTCTCTTTCTTTTTTTAGCTTTTTCAATCTATTGTAATTATTATATATATATATTTGTTTAATTTTATTTAAATTTATTTATATTTATTTATATTTATTTATATTTATTTATAGGCTAAGTATGGAGAAGAGAATCTTGAGGTGTATCTGCGAGAATTTTCGCCTCTGGAGGTTTCTGCATGTCATAGACAGAAAATAAAACAAAGAGATGAAGAAGATAAAGGAGCAGAAGACGAAGACGAAGACACATCTTTGTCGCCTTGTTGTTTAGCTAAATTAATTTGTTTAAGAAAAGATAAACAAAGAGTTGTCGGTATACACTTCGTCGGCCCAGAGGCTGGAGAAGTCTTACAGGGCATGGCTTTAGCTATTCGTCTAGGAGCTACGAAAGTAAATTAATTAAATTATTTAATTAATTAATTAATTAATTTATATTTAATTTATTTCTATTTGTTTATCTATTTTTATTTTCTTGCTGTTTATCTTCTTCTCGTTTACTTCGTGTAAGTATGATGTGGCTTCAGCTTTTTGTCTTGGAGCTACAATAAATAAATAAATAAATATTTATTTATTGTTTATTTAATTTATTTCTATTTATCTGTTTATTTATATTTCGCTTGTTATTTATCTTCTCTTTATTTACTTTATAATTTTTATTGCATTAGTTATTCTGCTGGGGGCAGGGAAGGTGTTTTATTTTATTTGTTTTTTAATGAGAGACAAAATAAATAGTTTAATTTAAACTCGCATATTCTTTTTATATCTCTTTCTCCATTGCTTCAGTTTTTAAAGGGTTTAGGGTTTAGGGTTTAGGGTTTAGGGTTTAGGGTTTAGGGTTTAGGGTTTAGGGTTTTAGGGAGAAGGGCTCCTTAGCCACCGTCTCTGAAGATGCAAGAGAAGGTCTAGGGTTTAGAGTTTATTAGGGTTTAGGGTTTGGTGTATGTATGTACAGGAGGACTTTGACAGCACGGTGGGTATACACCCGACGAACGCAGAATGTTTTATGCAGCTTCAAATAACAAAAAGAAGCGGAGAGAATTGGGTAGCAGCGGGAGGCTGTGGAGGAGGCAAGTGCGGCTGAACAACAAACAAAGAAAGCCCTTCAAGTTTTGTGCATGCACTCTATTCAATGCGTTTGTTGCATGCACTCTATAGTGTATGCATGCATATGGTGCATGCGCTTTATTGTATGTGTGCGTGCATGCATGCATGCATGCATGCATGCTCTCTATTGTATGTGTGCATGCATGCATGCATGCGTTTGGTGCATGCGCTTTTTGCATGCATGCATGCATGCATGCGTTTATTTCATGCATGCATGAAGACTATTTTTTATTATTTTCAATTTGGTCATTTAAAGACAAGAATATATATTAATAATATATATAATAGCAATAGTAATAATATATCTTTTTAACTAAAATATGTGTATAAAATATTTAAATGTGAATTCAGCAGTGGGGAGCAACGAGTAGAAAGAAAAACAAAATATGATAAACAAATAAATAAACAAAGGTAAACAAATAAATAAACGAGCAAATAAACAAAGTTAAACAAACAGGTGGACAAATAGACAGACAAATAAACAAAAAATTAAAACAAATGCAATAACAATATTATAATAAAGGTTTCATTACAATATATATATATATACGAATAAATATGTAGGTATATAGATACATATAGAATATATGTATATATCTATATACATATATATATATATATAAGTATACATATATATATATATATATATATATATATTTGAGTAGGTAATTGTTAGTGTACGTCCAAACTCTGCTGCTACAGAGTACAGCAGTCGCTCGCACTCTTTTTTTCTTTTTTTCTCTTTTTGTTTGTTTGTTTGTTTGTTTGTTTGCATGCAAGTGCTGCATGCATTTTTGTTGTTTCTTTGCTCGGGGATAAAGAAAAGCTTCTTCTTTTCTCTTTGTCTCTTTTGTCAATTTTTCTTCATGAAGAATATTTAAACAAAAACGCAGCACTCCTTCAGGTGTATATGCTTTGTTGCCTTGTAGCTGGTTCTAATAAAGATTTCAATAGAATATATATATATATATATATATATATATATATATGTATATATGCATGCATGTATACATTGACTCTTTATCTTCAGCGCCCCGAAATATGTATTGAAACTTTTTATTTCAATTGGCTTCACAAATTTGTTTTATAATATTTTATCGAGGAGGTGTATCTGTTTGTCTTTCCTCAATTAAGCTATAGAATTGCCGCGGCTTCAAAGGCATCATTTATTTGTTTCTATTCTTTATCTTCAGTGTATTTATTTATTTGTTTAAAGTCTTTATTTCAATTTGCTTTGTTTATGCATATGTACACTTTTTCTTATTTCTACTTGCACGGGTTTTAATGCCTTTCATAGCTTACCAGAACAGCGCGAGGAAAAGTGAGGGTTCTGAGGATAATTTATGTAAAAATAATGCAATAAATTTAATTCTCTTATCTTTTTAAAAATATATTTTTGACTGAAGTGCCTTTTGAACAATCTTTTCTTTTTTTTCATCTCGATGAAAAAGATCTCGCCCCCCACCTCGCCACCGGCGGATCGATTGGCGTAGAGGTGCTTGTGCTGATGAGTAGAAGGAGAGGAAAAATAAAATAAATTGAATTAAATGTTTTAAATTATTTTATATCCTAATTTTATCGTTCGAATTTCGTGTTTTTTCCCAGGTGTGTTCTCAACTCGTTCCACACCTTCTCAGGTGTACGTACACCTGGGCGGCGGTGGCGCCGGATCGACCAACCGCAGAAGGAGGAAGAAAGCAGAATAAATTGTGGAGGGTTGTTTCTTGTTGTGCACTATTTCGTTGCACTTCGGGTTTTCCCCGTATTTTTGTTGTTTATTCTACTTCTTTAGAGCTAAAGAAAAAGAATTTTCCTCGAGTTTCCTCCCCTCGACTTGGCTAGTCGTCGCCAGGCTCCCTTGACCGTTTTCTTCTCAAGCCGGTTACCAAGTCTTTTTGGTGTTTCTCTGTTGGTTTTTCCCTTTTGTTTAACCATTTAAACACTGAAACTTCATAAACAGCGGCTGTTACTCATCACAGAGCTCCTTTCAGACTGTATTCCTTAGCATTGCCTCCCTCGGCCGCATTTACGAATCCTTCACAGCGACCTCCCTATACACCTGAACTGGATCACCACTATCTTTTTCTTCTGTTTACTCCCTAGAGGAGTTTTAAGGTCTTTAGAGGCAACTAAAAGCCGAAATATGCAGCTGATCGGTAAATAATCAGCAATATCCCTTTCTTAGATTAACTTCCTCTTTGTTGTTGAAGATGTGTGTGTCTTTCTGGTCTTCTTGTTTATGTAGCATGCATCTGCTTCTCCTTGCAGCAGCCCCGTTTGTGGCTCCATCTGCAGCAGAACAGACGCCTACAGCGCGAAGCAGCAGCAGCAGCGGGACAACAACTGCAACAGTAGTAAAGAGATGCCCGAGCAACATCCCTGTGCATCACCAATCATGTACACTAGACTTATCTAGTGGCGAAACAGCAGAATTTTTTTGTCTTTATCCTCAGCCTCAGCATTTCCCTGAAACTGTATTTACTTGGGATGGAGAAGAGTCTCGTGTTGCCGATGTCTTCGGCGGAGCAACAGAGATAAAACAAACTGCAACAAAGCATGTATATAGAATTACAGTAGATAAAGACGCAAAAGCTGCAGCAGCAGGCATTACCTGCTCTCAGACCTCTAGGACACCGAGCAAACCTACTAATACTCCTTTAACTCTTGAAGAAGCTAAACAAGTTCAAATACACTCACTTGTTATACGCGTCAATGGAGGCCCTGCATATGCTAGAGAAACTGCAACTCAGAACAGTGCAGGGCAGGCAGCAGCAGCAGCAGCAGCAACAACAGCAGCTGCAGCACCATTTACTTTGCTCCTTCTAGCTGCTTCTCTTGCTTTCACTCTCTAAACAATTACTCGCCTTATTAAACCCTAAACAGCTGGCTGTGCAGAGGTAAACAATATATATAAACATATAATATATATAATATATAATATATAACATATAATATATAATATATAATATATATATACATGCATGTTATATAATATATATACATATATATAGACATATTATATAATGCATATATATTATATATTGTACGTATGTATATATGTTCCTCTATAATATATAATGTTGATATAGATATAGATATATATATTCGTATATATGTATTAATATATAATATATATAATAAACGTGTATATTATACATATTATACATATTTTATATACACAAATATATATAATATATACTAAATATACTAAATAACATATATATTTAGCGATATATATTCATATATATATATATATATATATTATATATAATACATATATATACATATACATATAATATATATATTATATGTATATATACTATACTATAATTGTACTATAAATAAACAAACATATATTATATATATTATATATTATATGTTTATATACCGCATGCATGCAAACTGCATGCAAAAACCTTTCAAAGGTTTTTGGTTGCAACTGAGAGTTCCTCGCCTCTGGCGTTTTAATTGCTTTCGCAACCTCGTCAAGGGTTTAGGGTTTAGGGTTTAGGGTTTACTGTTCTCAAGGGTTTATAGGGTTTAGCGCTCTCGATGCTTTAGGGTTTTGGGTTCTCAAGGGTTTAGGGTTTAGGGTTTAGCGCTCTCAAGGGTTTAGGGCTTTTCAGGGTTTCGGGCTTCTGATTCTTAAGGGTTTAGGGTTCTCAAGGGTTTAGGGTTTAGGACGAGAGAATAAACATAATAATAGTAATACTACTACTAATAGTAATAGTAATAATAAAACTAAGAATAATAACAATACTAGCAACAATAATAATTAATAACAATTAATAATAATAATTAATAATAATAATTAATAATATTAATAATAATAATAATAATAATTAATAATGTTTTTGTCGTTAGAAGAAAGCTGCGCAGGCCCCATTGGCTGCGATGCAGCAGGGTTCAGGGTTTAGGGTTTAGGGTTTAAATGATTTGCAGTATTTAATGTTTTGTTCTAAATTTTATTAGGTGTATCTACAGAAACAAACAAAAGCTAAAAATATTTATTTTCTTCTCATCCGTTTCTTTTCTCTCGTCTTTGTTGTTTGTCGCTGTTTTCCGTTTATGTTTATATTTTTTATTTTTATTTTTATTATCGCTTCTTTCTTTTTATTATTTGCTCTCTTCTTTTAGTTTTATTATTTTTTATTACTTTTACTTTTATCTTTTCTTCATTTTTATTTTCTTCTTTCTTTCTTCTTCTTTTTATTCTTTTTCTTTCTTATTTCTTTTCATTTCTTTTTCTTCTTGCTTATTTCTTTTTATTCTTTTTTGATTCTTCAGTCGTCTCTCAGAGGCACAAACTCAGTGCGCATGCCGCTGCTGTCTATCACCATAACCTCCGCCAGGTCCCCTGAAACACAAACCCTAAACCCTAAACCCTAAACCCTAACCCCCAACCCCTAACCCCTAAAAAGACTTTAAGAGCAAAACCGCAGCGAATGTGTTTGCTGGGTATAGCAGGAGATACTAGAGGGAATAGACAGATATCGGGGTGGTGTTGCAACCCCTTAAACCCTAAACCCTAAACCCTAAACCCTAGTTACCTGTGAAGATATCTCTTTCTCCTGCGGATGCGAGAACCCCTCTAACAAATGCAATTGTTTCTTCTTTAGTCATCTTCGGCTTTTCCTTTAATTGATTATTCCTCGCGATCTGCAAACAATATATATATATATGCATATATATATATATATATATAT